TATATACCAGATGCAGTCAGACCAGGCCGTTCGAGCCTAGGCTGCATATTCCTAGTCAAAACGTGTTGTTCGTCCGACACGTATGCGCCGTCTCTTCGGAGACTGTCCCAGTGTTGTCATTTTCATTTTCCATAGTTTTCAGCAAAGCGAGTAACTGACGCTGTTCAGCGAACTTTAACTCACCCAGCGCCGCAGTCTAGCTGGAGGTTTAATGGAAATGGGCACAGGAAGGTGTATTTAGAAAAGCTTCCTTGATAAAGATTTCTTAATTGAATAGCTGAAGTGTTATACCATTTGTATGCGTATAAGTTTTTTTTTGCAGCAGCTGTACAGGAAGAAACCAGGACTCGGCATGGAACAGTGCAAGCTATCGCCTAATGTCAATAAGAATCGCTATCGTGATGTTTGTCCCTACGATAGCACTCGCGTAAAACTTAGCGCTCCTAGCGGCGATTATATCAATGCATCATTTGTCAATGTTAGCATTATTATTATACTTTTTTTGCAGCTATGCAATGCGGAAAACGCATACTGACGAGAGGTTGTCTGTGAGTGTGCTGGGCCTCTGTACCGATTTTTCATCTCGAGACCTACAAAAACCACAGGGCTAAAACTTTGGGATGGGGGCAGTCGTACGGGCCCGTTAATGTTTTTTGCGGGTAAGTCGCGAACCATGAAAGTTAAAAAGCTGAAGTTTTAAGGGGATGTTCCCGTCCCCTCAGTCTCATTAAGCTCAAACCCAGACTCCGGGTATGCGTGGTACCCACATACTGGGCCGCCAAAGTTTTTTTCGGGTAACTCGCTAACTCGGGAATCAGAAAAGCTAGAAAGCTGAAATTTTACGGGGACGTTTCCTGTCCATGTAACTCTCAACAAGCTCAGACCCAGACGTCGGGCGTGCATGGCACCCACGTGCGGGCCCGTGAAAGTTTTCCAGTAAGTTTTTAACTCAGAAGCCAGGAAAGCTAGAAAGTTGGAATTTTAAGGAGGTGTTTCCTGACAGTTCTGGCGGCCAGTTTTAATTTGTTTTGCTAGAAGCATGCCGAAAAACCGGCGCCGATTGCGACCAAAACTGCGGAGAAATATGCAAAAAACGCATCCTCGCATGGGCAGCCTGTGTGTTGGTCAGTTATTTTTAAATTTCTCTGTGCAAATCTCACTCTCAGGTTTGGCATTGTCTATTGCTGTTGGCAAGTAAGCAGCGATGGTGTGCTGGGTATACTTCGGAAACCTGTTAATTCCTAGTCTGGTTCTTCAGTAGTGCAGATGGCAACTGTTCCATTTGCACTAACCAGTGCTTCGTCTTTTTGCGGTCAGCCTGTTGGCGATCTTGACGTTCTTGTCGCGTCTCATAAAGGAATTACCGAATCAGCGGTCCTCCCGACAGAAAATTTTAATAGTCTCGAAATGCCCTTGGCAATTTAAGCACTACTGCCTCGTTTAAGCATTGCATCTTTCACTCCCATACTGTGATGAGGAAATACTATGCCGACCAAGGCAACGGCGGTGTAATATTAGTCTTGAGCCTTCTATCATAGTTTGTTTAGAACGTCCGCCCGTATTGTCAAGGAGTTGCCAAGATGAAAATTGTTCTACTATTCCGGTTTCAGGTGCTGCCACTACACAGTCGCCAGGATCGAATTTTGTTGATGGCTTTTTATTGCGAATTTCCATTCTCAATTTTACACTTTTGTTACAGATGGAAATTCCGTCGAGCGGTATCGTGAACCGATACATTGCTGCACAGGGCCCTCTGGCGCACACTTCCGGGGATTTCTGGCATATGATCTGGGAGCAGCTATGCACAACGATCGTTATGCTGACAACAACAATTGAACGCGGTCGTGTAAAGTGCCATCAGTATTGGCCAAGGCTGTACGAACGACACGATTATGGACGATTACAAATCTCTTGCATTAGTGAACGTGAAACTGCCAACTGCGCCCATCGTGAAATGTCCATTTATGATAAAGTGGTGAGTTTCGGATGTTTAAGTTGGAGGCCTAGGAAGCACAGGCTTTGAGATTCCTAATAATGTCAGGGTAACCTGTGGCTTTATAATCACAGAGAAATTTGTCATTATATGGAGATTAGAAAGGCTGCATACTGAAATGAAACTCCGAACCCTTACTTCACTGGACTTCACAAAGCCGAAATTGTTCGGGGAACTAAAATGTTAAGATTTCCAGCGACTGTCATGAGAACAAGTTCTAATTAAGTGCCGAAAAGACTACATTCCTTGATGATTTTTCAGATTCTTGAGCAATATCGTATTTTCCAACTGTTAACCTAAATTCAAACTTGCAGACGAAAGAGGAAAGGCGAGTGAGCCAAATGCAATATACAGCGTGGCCCGATCATGGAGTTCCAGAAGATCCAAAACATTTCATCGAATTCGTCGGTGAAGTACGCTTCTAATACTCGCTTATTTAAAGTGAGCAGTGAGACAGGACACAGTATCGGGATGTGTTAAAATAAAATTAGTTTTACTTTTTAAATGTCCTAAATTTAGCGCCTTTTATTACTATCGGTTACGGTCACTTCCCACGCAGGGTCATTGTTAATTTCAGCTGGAGTTCATACTTGGCTCTCCAGCTATGTAGCTGACAAATTTTTCGTTTGTTTCTGCCAGTGCCTCACCATCTCTTGAAGAGATTCCAACCTGACATTCTTATTACTTGCTTCGGGATTTCAGTGGTTTTTATGTGTTTCTTGCATCTGTGCAATGCAGAAAACGCATATTGACTAGGGGTTGTGTGTGTGTGTGTGTGTGTGTGTGTGTGTGTGTGTGTGTGTGTGTG